TAGCTCAGTGGTCGTGAGTTCGATTCCTGGTACCGGAAGAAAAAACAAAACAAAAAAAATGTTCATATGAGACTCAAGTGTAGAGCAGTCTTGGATTACTGAAATACTGTTGAGAGTTGTTTTGCTACTAATTTGTTAAATATTTCTGCATCACAGTTCATGAGAAATAGATTCGTAGTTTTCTTATGTTTTAATGTCTTTGGTTAACATAGTGCTGACCTTATAAATGAATTACCCTTCTCTCCTGTATTACTGGAGAATACTGGTATAATTTTATCATTACAATTTACTACTGATAATTTATTCTGATTTTGTCAACGGTCACATTGCTAAAGTCACTCCACAAGAACTATAATATTTCCCCCTTTTGGAAACTGAAGTGTATGACTGTTTTAATTGCTAAATTGCCCAGCAGAGTTAGCAAAATGACATACTGCGTGTATCAAATCATACTTTAGTTTCTTACAATATTTTTGAAACAAAATTAGCAGTAGTCTAGATCAAACTCTTGTTGCCCAACAGTTTACCTGGTCGTTGATCAGGTAACAAAGCAGTTAAGTAATGAAGAACAAAACAGGATGTCCTGGAAAATACAAGAAAATATAATGTTCTATTTTCCTCTGTCTTCTTTCCTTTCCCTCCACCTCACACCCTTTATTTCCCCCAGCACCCAAATTGTGACTTGCTCTGCAGACAGGCATTTGGTCATTGGATGAGAATGCCTCTCCCCAATCACTTCAGCTTCCTCCCCTCCCTACGCAAATTTCCCTTCCTTCTCTATCCTTTGAGTTGGCACCTCCTCTGCTGCTTTAGAATTAGGGCAGAGCCATGCAGGAGCACTTACATTTAAGCCTTAAGCAACCATAAGGCTTAAGGAAGCATAAAAGAAACATCATGGCCTGTTTGCAAGAGAAAGGAACAGGAACTGTGGCTGTGGAAGCAGGGACTTTGGACATACTAGACCAAGATTTTACATCAGCTGTTTTAAACAATTGTACTGCCGGGCATGGTGGCACATGCCTGTAATCCCAGCACTTGGGCGGCTGAGGCAGGAGGATCGTTGGGAGTTCGAGACTAGCCTGGGCTACAAAGTGAGCTCAAGGCCAGCCTGAACTGCATAGCAGGACCCTGTCTCAAAAAGGCAGGAGAGAGAGAAGAGAGAAGAGAGACAACTGCAAAAATTAAAACTAACGTTGCATAAAACAAATAGAAATGTGCTAGCATAGCGTTACAGATTGTATTATTATTCTCAATTCTTCACACTCCAGATTCATTGCTTTGGAGTGTAAGTTGGTGGTTGGCTGGCTGGCCTGAGTTGGCCCGTGGGTTGGGCATGGAAATGATGCTCCAGAGCTGCATCTGTTTGTTTCTCTATTTTATTCATCATGAGAGGACCACTCAGGCCATGCTGTGTGCCACAGAGGATGACAGATGACAGCAGAGCTGGACCATGTCTCACCTTAGACAAATGCTGAGTATCATAATAGTCCCTCAGAGGAACAGGAGAGAGTAAGTGTCCTCTAACGCTGTGAGTTTGAAGAAGTGTGTTACTCAGCATGATAACCAGTAGCTATGGGGTACTATGATGCGTAGATGCTATTAGTATTGATGTGAGTTAAAAGCAGTGATTTGTGGTGAGAAGCAAACGAGGTAGAGCAAATATGCTACCTGACTTCTCATCCAACATATTGTTAATCAAGTAATCTGAATTATCTCAAAAACTACAAAGTATTAAGATGATCAACTAAAACAATGATAGAAGAGAAATTACACTAATTTCATTATTGTTCCTTGCTGGGCATTAAAAGAAACTTTAATGAAATGGAAAATTAATAGAATTAATTAGACGTATTAGACAAAGAGTACAAGGTTTCTTTTTCAGGTGTGAAAGGGTACCAAAATTAGATTGTGTTGATGGTTACACAATCGATAGAGTAAAAGTATTGAATTGTGAACTTGAATTAAATGGATCAATTGAATAATATGAAAATTACTTTCATTCAGTAGAGCTGTTAATGCAACCACAAAATAGGAATTACATTCAAGAGTCAATAAAATAAATCAGTAAGGGGCTGGGGATTTAGCTCAGCGGCAAAAGCGCCTGCCTGGCAAGCGCAAGGTCGTGAGTTCGGTTCCCGGTACCGGAGAAAAACCAAAAAATAAAAAAAAATTAAAAAAATAAAAATAAATCAGTAATATAATCAAGAAGAAAGAGGACGGATGCCACAAAATACGAACAGCAACACCCTACAGAAGCAAAGCCAATGTGCTGTTGAGCACCGTGCCCATTTCCAGAAAGGAGCTGTATCATTAGAGCAAAGTAGAGCAGTTACACTTAAGACCAGAGAAAATGGAAGGTTTTTTTCTATTTCCTTTTTTTGAGAGGAGTACTGAGTATTGAACCCCAAGACTTTTTATTTTTATTTATTATTTTTTATTTTTTACTTATTTACTTTTTATTTTTTATTTACTTATTTATTTACTTATTTTATTTACTTATTTTTATTTAGTGTCTGACTAAGTTGACCAGGGTAGGCTTGAACTTGAGATCATCCTGCCTCAGCCTCTTAGAGTGCTGCAATTGCAAGCAGCCACCAGCACACCAGGCTGTACTTTTTTTTAATAAAATGATCATAAAGATGGTATCAAATCAAAAAATTAAACGTTTAAAACCTTTTAGAAGAAGCATCTAAAATGGGAAGACAATTTTGTACCTATGCCAATTAATGTTAATTGAATGTATTTCTGACAAAAATGTTAAGAATATTCCAGGGGATAAACTAACCAATCCTTTTAAAAAGCTGTATAGTATAGAATTTTTAAATGTATTAAAATTAGAAGAATCGTTTAATATATCACCCTGCTTCAGTAATTACCCAGGGGACAGAAAAGCTCAGCAGCAGAGGACTGAATTTGATCTCCAGCACCACAAAAATAAATTAAAAAAAAAATAACCAATGTACGGTCACTTTGGGAGAAACTTTGTTTTTGGACACAAGGCATTATGTAGCGCATGTTAGCTTTGGACTTGTGCCTTTCCTACCTTGGGATTACAGACTTGGACAAGTCTCTTTTCAAGTTTATCTAAATTCTTCACGGCTAGTGAAAAAATTAAAAAAGACAAGAGAAACTTTCTGTAATGGTTATCTAATAAAGGTACTGTATGCTGTGTGATTGAAGTATACAGTGAATATTAAATCTTTTTTAAGTTGCCATTAATCCCTCTCAAAATGCTCCCCTCTCATTTTAAACGTGCTTCACTCAAAAAGCCCCCCGGGTGAGTCCAGTTCTGCTACTTTCTAAATCAGTTCTGGATTTCCTTTTCTCATCAGTGTCTTTAATTGCACTGTTGCAACTGCCTGCAGTGTTTATCCTTCATGGTCATTTTGCCTTTGGGGAAGAACTGAAAGCTGCATGAACCCGTGAAAAAAGTAGATAAGGACACACCACAATATTTTTATGAGCCTGAATTTCTGTTGGATGCCACTCAACAGTAGCACTCACCGGATTTTTATCATAGAAAGGACATTCAAAAAGGAGGACTTGGGGCTAGGGATTTAGCTCAGTGGCACAAGTGCCTGCCTGGCAAGTGCAAGATCCTGAGTTTGATTCCCAGTACCACAAAAAACAAAACGGGACTTCCAGAACTTCTTCATAAAAGTAGCAAGAACAATGGGGTATGTTCTAACGGAGGGGGATTGATGGTAATGTGTCTTTTACTGTGATAATTTTTTTAAAAAAGTAAACATTTTTATCACACTGTATAGCTAGGCATGAAGTAGACACAATATTTCTGTGAGCATTTAATCAGTTGGAAAACAACGCCTTAAGAATCAATAAGTATTGCCGGGTGTGGTGGTGCACGCCTGTAATCCCAGTACTTGGGAGGCTGAGGCAGGAGGATCGCTGTGAGTTCCAGGCCAGCCTGGGCTACAAAGTGAGCTCAAGGCGAGTCTGAACTGCACAGCGAGACCCTGTCTCAAAAAAAAAAGACGGAAAAAAAAAAAAAAAAAAGAATAAGTATTGTTGGATCAAGGAGCTTCAAAAGTGGGAAGGATTCAAGTTAAGTAATTTACAACATATGAAAAACGGGGTCTAAATGTAAAATTAGGCCTGTCAGAGAATTAGAAAAAGAAGATTCAAAATTTTGGTGGGAGGATCTTCCCAAACCATGTAAGAATGACAGATTTGGTTAATAAAAAGTTTAAACTAGGGGGCTGGGGATTTAGCTCAGCGGCACAGCGCCTGCCTGGCAAGCGCAAGGTCCTGCGTTTCGATTCCCGGTACCGGAAAAAAAAAAAACAAAAAAGAGTTTAAACTAAAACAGAATTTAACAAAGTCACAGGACAATAGGCTGAAGCACAGACCACACACAGATCAAAGTAACACGGCAATATGTAGGAGTGCTAAGGAACAGAAGCTACGGTACTTTAGAGTCACCCACGTCAAGACACGTGGCTTCCTAGGTCACGTCCCAGAAATAGGTTAGGTAGGTGATGGGTCTTGGGTGATTTTCTTCTGTTTTCCTCATTTCTGTTTTTTTCTTTTACGGTGATAGCGTGTGTTGTATATCCAACTGAAATTTTTAAATGCCTAAACAACAGAAAGGGGCCCCCTTAGATTGTTTTCTGCTCGCGTTGTTGTTTCATCAGCTTTAAGATAAGGGGGGCAAACACTGAGAATCTTTTTGTTGTTGCTTCCTTGAAGTGTCTGTGGAAGGAGATTTGGGCGCTTACCCCTAAGCATTTTGCATTGCCTCATTACACACCTCTTCCAGTTCTCTATCCCGAGCTCTCGCATAACTCTTTGCATCCGGTCAGGCCGAATTACACGCAAGAATTCATTCCTGGCGCGCGCGTCAGCGTGACTCCCGCGTCCGCACATCCGGGGTGGGCATGGGAACGCCCCTCCCCGCCCCGCCCCGCCCCGCCTGTGGTTGTGTTGTCATCACGTGGCCGGGCGGGCCCTGACGTCACGACAGGGGAGTGGCTGCGCAAGCGCAGAAAAGGGGGCGGGGGACTCGGCTTGTTGTGTTGCTGCCCGAGAACCGGAGACGGTCCTGCTGCGGCCGAAGCTCTTCCAGCCGCCAGACCATGTCGTCTCATTTAGTCGAGCCGCCGCCTCCCCTGCACAACAACAACAACAATTGCGAGGAAGGGGACCAGCCTTTGCCGCCGCCAGCCGGCCTCAACAGTGAGTGCTGGGCCGACGGGCTCGGTAGAGGGATGGGGGAGGAGGAGCTCCTCTGGCGGCCGCCGCCTGCGCCGCGCGGGGGGCGGGAGGAGAAGGCTGCCCATTGGTCTGGGGCGAGGATGTCCTTGTGATTGACAGCGCCCGCCTCCAGTCAAGAAGAGGCGCTCGGGTCTTCCTCACGGCTCATCTGCACCGCCTCCGGGGGTCGTGGGCTGCGGGCGCCAGGGTCTTTAGTCCAGGCCGGGTCAGGGTGGCGGAGAGGGCATCCCGCGTCATCCGCGCTGGCCCTTGAGCTCAGCTTCGGGAGCGGGCCGTGGGGGCGGTGGAGGTGGGCGGAGCGGACCGCTGGGGGACGTGGGCCGGGCCGGGGACGTGCGGCTGGGATGCCGGGGGATGGACGCGCGGCGGGCGGGGCGCGGGCCGGGACGTGCGGCCCAGCAGGTGCGGGGTCCCGCGCGACCCACCCGGGGATCGGGGTCCGGCCCGAGGATCGAGCCCGAGCCTGCCAGTTGTGTCCCTTTGTTGCCACATGCTGGTCACGAAAATCCATTGGGTAACTGTGTGGGGCTGAGGAGGCCTTGCGCCTTTTTAAAAAAAAAATTTCTTAGATTTCCCCGAGTTGCTGAAAATTTTTTTTTTTTTGGACGATGGGATTGCATTCCCAGTAAGTCTGTTTTTTTATACACCACCCAACGTTGCACCCATCACGGAGTCTGGGCAGTGAGTTTTCAGAAACAGAATTTTAGACACACAGACGCCCAGGTGTTTAAAAGTTCATGAGCGTTATGAGGTGAGGACCAGCAGCGATTGCTTTATTTAGCCTTCTGGTGCTCTCACAGCTGGTCCTAAGACTGTTCCTGGTTGCGGTGCGGTGAGCACCTAGCTTGTTGGAAAGGTTGTTGCCAAACCTTTCTTCAGTTCATCTCTTATGAAAGAGGTAGTGGGGGCCGTCACCATATGGCCATATGCAAATGTTTAAAAAGGATCCGGATGCCGAAAGATCATGCAGTTTATTTCATAAGAGGGAGATGCTTCCAGCATGGCCTAAACATTTTAGAGAAGTTCCTGTCTTCGCAGGGTGGGGTTAGCATTTGGATATTTTTACCTGTTTCCATTGTTTGTTGCTGTTGCTCCATCTTTTGATTGGCTGATTCTCTTAAACCTTGACCTTTTTTGTAAGCCTTTAATTTGTCTTGTGTTTTAGAGTGTAGGGTTTTTATATTACTTCCCACAGTAAATGCCAGGGGATGTGTCTTTAAATGTTACTTGTATTATCAAAACAGAATAATCCGTACTTTTCTTGGAAACATGGATTTCACAATGAGAAGAGACCTCGGAGATCGAGGTGTACTTTGTTTTTACTGGTTAAAAAAGAGGAGGTCTAGAGTCAAGGGTCTGGGGCAAGTCCGTAGGTGGCTGTGATCCAGAGCCCTGTTCCCACTCAGCCGGTCTGGTGTTCTTTTCAGGATCCTTTTTAATGGGCCTGTATCTCTTCTTTCAGTATGTCCTTAGGTGTACAGAAGGGGCCAGCCTGTCTTTAATATTCTTTTTCTTAGTTGTGCTTCATGTTTTCTTCTGAGTCAGGTATGTAGTCAGTATGTGTATGATTGCACGGAAAGCAGAAGGATTTATATTTTTCAGTGACCCTTTAACAACAACAGCAAAAGATTGAGGTGGATGTAATCTTTTATTTTTCCTTAAGTCTTTCTGGGGGTTTGAACTCAGGGCCTTTGCACAGAGCTACACTCTTACCCCCTTTTTGTTTTATATTCTGAGAACAGATCTCACTAAATAAGTTGCCCAGGTTTGGCTCAAACTTAGGATTCTCCTGCCTCAGCCTCTCAGAGCCCTGGGCTTACAGGAATGTGCCACCACACCCATCTTGTGATTGTTTGTCTTGGTATCTGACAGACCTGTGAGGTGTTCCATGTCTTCAGCCAATCATTTCCTGCCACGTATGGCTCTTACAGAAGTGGTGGAACATGCAACGTGCATGTGATACCAGGTGTTGCTTTGGGAAATCTGCTACATAGAAAGTATTTTATTTGGAATAGGCTGAGCTTCTAAATGACTGAAAAGCTCTTAGATAATGCCATACTTAATTACTCATCTTGCCTCTTTGTTTGCTTTCTTAGCTCGTTATACAACACTGCGCTGAACAAGACAGCCGTATTGACTCTTTGAAGTGAGTTTCAGGCATTGAGCAGAAAACTTACTCAGGCATCTAATACCATCTAAATTGCTGATAAGTCCGAGCACCGTGTTGGATAACATTGCACAACTGGAAATAGAAGATGAAATTTATATAGACTACCTGGTGTAGGATTTTATCTTTAATTTAGGAGTAAAAGCATAGTCTTAGTTGTTTTGTTTTTTGAGACAGGGTTTCACCATGTAGTTCAAGCTGGCCTTGAACTTACTACCGTAGCCCAGGCTGACCTCAAACTCACAGTGATCCTCCTGCCTCAGCATCCTAAGTGCTGGGATTACAGGCATGCAGCATCACACCCCGCATTAGAGTCTTAATAATAAATTACTGAAATATTTGAAATGTGAAGACTTTCTCTGATGTCTTTTTTTTCTTTTAAATTTCCCACTCTAAGGGAAATTCACTTTCATTACAAATTAGCGGGCAGGGCAGACATCCAGTTTCCAAAGTTAAAAGGATGTTTCCGCTTTTATTCTTAAAACTCTATCAGGTTTCTTAATATTTGAATAACACATTTATGTCTTGGTTTTTTTGTTTGTTTTCCGGTACCGGGAATTGAACTCATGACCTTGTGCTTGCCAGGCAGGCGCAGTGCCACTGAGCTAAACCCCCAGCCCCTAACACATTTATGTCTTGAGGTTTTAGTGGGCTGTAGAGGAACATCAGGGTGTTTGACGTGGGGAGTACAGGCTTTGCTCTTTAAAGATCTTCAAACACAGGGGCCTTGCTTCCCCTGTGTGGCAGGAGGGCTCTTACAGGATAACACGGTAATGCCACTGCCTTTGAATAGTTTTTTGAATAAAGAAGTCACCGGTGTGCAAACACCCACTTGGTGCAGAAAAGTCAGCATCTTGTTAGAAGTCTGCCCATGACTGGTGTAGGTCTGGTCTGGACTCCCAACATCAGGTCCCCAAAACAAGCAGACAAAAAAGACTTTGAGGAAAGAAGGAAAATCCAGTGAACTGTGTTCTCCTCTGTTAGGGTACCAGTTTCACACAGGGCTTTGCCAAGCTAGGGGGAAATGGGGAGAAATACTCTCCCCCACACACACCAGGAGATAAACTGGTGATGATAGAACTGTGGCGTCTGCAGGGTACAAGCATGAATATAAACACAGTTATTGGACCAACTCGGACAGTTCCTCTTAGCCGTTCTCCAGGACTCAAACTAGAGCGTGTGTCCCTGTGTGTGTGTACAAAGTGGAAAGGGAACAGCTTCCAGCTTGTAAAGCGCCTTGTAAAGTAACAGAAAGCTCCCAGCTCTTGTTTTAAAGCCTGCTTATTAGAGAATTCGCTCAGAGCTTGTTTTCTGCTTGTCTTGCTTGGACAGCGCAGTCCTCATACCTCCTCATACCTTGCCTTGTTTGCTTTCCAGGCGAAGAAAAGAGGACATCGTGAGGATTGGTAGAGATAGAACCAAAGAAATTCCAAGGCTGTCAGTGCAGAGCGAGTTAGGTGATGGGGAAAAGACGCGTGGAGCTCATCTGCTAAGCCCGATTTGCTTTTGTGTGTTACTCAAAGGGCAAGGCTGACGTGTAGCCTCTTAAGGAATGTGTTTGTAACATTCTCTGTAGTGTTACACATTTTCCTCCATGATACTTCTGGAGGAAAATCACTGAGTTAAAGGAAATCTAAGGCTCTTCATAAATGTTGCCCAATTACCCTACGGAATGTTCTTTTAAGCCTCAGTTAACTGTTGCCATTGGATAGTGGATAAGGTGTGATGCGTCTTTATAAGCAATGAGAACAGTGCAGGTGTTTAAAAGAATAAATGTTCTCACATATTGACATGGAAGACAGCTCTGAGTTTTAGGTGGAAACGCTACTTACAGAAACACCTACAGTACATTTTCACTTGTTTATAAAAACAACAGAAAATTGCAGAAGTCTCCATGTGAACCATTTTACAGTTATTTCCCTTGGGAATAGAAATGGGAGGTTAGTGAGGTACTGTTTTTAACCTTATATATTGATGTTTATATTTTCATAGAACACATTTTTGCAGTCAGAAATGATTTTTTTAAGTATACAAAATGTAATTACGATAGTAGTGAACACGCACTTAGCATGTGCTGGGGACTGTTCTTGTTTTTCTGTATTCACTCACTTAATCCTTCTGACATCTCTGTGGGATAGATACAGCCGTTATCCCTGTTTCAGAGATGAGGAAACAGAGAGAGATTAACCAGTCCAGAATGTACCACCTGTAAGTAATAGAGTTGGCTGTCTCGCTTCAGTCTGTGCTTTTAACCCCTGTGCCCCCGTTTGCCAGATAAAAATGGTCTGCCAACCCAGGTACGGTGGCAAAGATTTGTAATCCCAGCCGCTGGGGAGGCCAAATGGAAGAGTCCAGGGTTCAGGGTCAGCCAGGGCAGCTGAGCGAGATCTTGTCTCAAAACAGAAAAGATCTGCCTTAGGTACAAAAGCTACCCACTGGCTCCAAGGTGGTAGGGCATGATAAGGATCATTTTTATCCAGCCTTCCTAGGCATGTCTTCTTAAATTCCTGAACTACGTGTTTCGTTTTGTTTTGTGGTACTAGGACCGAACCCGTGGCCTTCAGACTGAGCTACATCCTGAGCCCTTAGGGTTTTTTATTTTGAGACTGGCTTTCAGTAAGTTGCCAAGTTGTCCAAGCTGGGCTCAAACTTAGGATCCTCCTGCCTCAGCCTCCCAGAGTTGTAGGATTACAGACCTACATGGCCACACCCAGCTTCGCTTGTGTATTTTTAGCGCAGAAAATAGAGTTTACTATACACACTGGTTTGGAAGTCCTTCAGAAAAGCACAGACCAGAAAAAGCAGGCATTAATAGCTGTCCTTTTTCTCTCTGATTAGATACTTCAGGTGCGCATTGTGTTTTAAGGAAGGCTGGCTCCTACCGGCCCATCTGGAACCCCTGGTTCTTAGTTCTGCTCTGCCAGAGCAGCTTTGGGAGTTATTTTACTCACTGGGATCTTTTCAAGAAGTGGCTCCAAAAGAAGTTTGAAAACCTTGAGGGGCAGTGGAAGTAGAGAAAGATTGTTATGTAATACTCTCCCCGCCACTCATACTTCACACAGCTGTAAATTTAAGGATGCTTTCAGTATATTACACACTCCGGAGCCCTCCACGGCATTGATTAAAGTGCCTTGAGTGTTGGATCTGGCTTAGCCTTGCTGGTCGTTAGCACTCTTGCGGTTTCTGTCGTCTGTGTCCATTGACACGCGGGTAGAGAAAGAGGCTGCACAGCTGCCCCACACCTGTGTCATCCGCCAGCACAGTCCCGAGGAGCTGCTGGTGGCGGGACAGGAACAGCCCCTGGGGCTGCCCTCTGCATCACTTCCTTCACAGGCGTAACCTCTCCTAACCAGCGTGTGAGCGTGCGTCTCCCTCTTCCTGGGCACTGGCGTGGCTCCGGCTGGTCCTCTGGCAGCCCTGGAGGCAGTCGAGGAAACTGAGGCACGGGTCTCGCAGGTGGAGGGGAGGCCCTGGGGTGGGAGTCCCATCCGGCTGTGCCTTAGAGCTTCTACTTGGTCAGTCTGGTGCAGCCCTCGCCCCAGGAAGGTGCAAGTTCAGGGTTGAGCTGGTTTTCATGGTGCTTCTGACTGACTGTTGGAACCCCTCAGTCTGCCTGGCCCTCAGACACTTCACGGGGAGCTTAGAGGAATGGTCCCACCAAACTGCCAGGTTACATTTTTTCAAACCAAATTTGTTATAAACAAGGAAATTTTTAAAATACATAATTCTCTCTTTGTTGTGAAGTTGGTTTATAGCTACTCTGTTACCAGTTCTTAGTAAAATTCAAGCACCAGCATCCTTCAGCAAACACTTCAAGCCAGTGAAAATTGTCAGGACCTGTGCTCCTTTACCTGTGGCTCCGCCCCCTTTCCTGAAGCCCCACCCCCTTTGACTGTGCCCCAAAAACTGCCTCCTTCCTGTGGCCCAGGTACAGCGGCTTCACTCTCCAAGCCAGCAGGGCTTGATGCAAACCCAAGGAAGTAGGACCTCGTAGCCCAGGAAGGAGAAGTGACAAGTCTCTAAGGTATGTTCAGTGAGTGAAGGAGGAGGAAGGGTAAGGTATGAAGGGAAGGAATAAAACCAGATGTGGAGTAGAGCTGCAGCCTTTCCCCCAGAATTTTTACATTGTCACCTGACTTTATGAGGAGTCAGCTGCATTAATTTTATGCTCTGGGTTTGTGCCCGCATTAAAATTTAGTGATTAAGTTTAGGTTTCCTCGGGACATCCTTTGGGATATAGTTGTGAATCTGCTTAGTTGAACTTCATGGTCATGTCCATTTAATTTGTGGAGTAGATACAGCTAAATAGGTGAGGTAGATTGTGGACTGTATATTAAGCGTGTGTGAACTTAAATAGTAAAGCCAAGTAGCCTATCTCGTAATAAAGTAATAAAGGTCACTTTTTGAAAGCAGCCTCAGTTTTTAGTAAACCAGTGGTTGTATATAAACAAAGCGTTAAGCAGAGAAAATTCACTTCAAGATGCACTTTCTGAAAGGTTTTAGATTCCAGCTTCTTCTAAATTGGTTGACTGCATGAGCAACTTCAAGAACAGCATGAGCTCGGGTTCCGCTTACTGCCCTTGTTTATTTTCTGTAGCACACTCGCTTTAGCTTTGAGGCCGGTCAGAGTGCTTATCTGAGTTCTCCATACTGACATCTGTGCACACACGACAGATTTTCAGTCCTGCCGTGGTTAATTTATCTGACCCGTCCAACAGGTTCCTGGGTGGAGCTACCCATGAACAGCAGCAACGGCAATGATAATGGCAACGGGAAGAATGGGGGTCTGGAGCACGTCCCTTCCTCGTCCTCCATCCACAACGGGGACATGGAGAAGATCCTTCTGGACGCACAGCACGAATCAGGACAGAGCAGTTCAAGAGGCAGCTCTCACTGTGACAGGTAACCGAGCCCCGTGCTTTCGTGTGGGTTACGAGGCTGATCCACAGGAGAAAACCTGCCTTAACAAAATACAGCGCGTGTGTTCAGGTCACACAGCTAGTTGACAGGCACTGACGTACCCACTGTTTTTCCTCAGATGAAGTCATTTTGCTTGTCTTATTTTAGGTGGTTTATTGGTTTAAAAGTCAGTGGTACAAATGTTAATTTATAGAATTCATCCTTCCTGATCTTCCCTTGTCGTAGTCCCTGTTTCACGGGTCACACTGTGCCTGAATTACAGTTCCTCTGTGGACATCTGTGTCCCCTCTGGGTGTGCGGCTCCGGAGGCAGGGCTCAGGTTCCCTCCTCTTCCCACCCATGAGCAGGTTCAGCTGCAAGCCACACTCAGTCAGAGTCCCTTCCTAGGAGCTGCATGTCGATTCAGATAGTGTCCTAGCAGTGCTTGCAAGGCTAATGATAATTCATTTTGAAAGCCATTGCCTTCCCTCAGGAAGTTTTGTTTTTCCCCAAATGCTGTGCATTAAATACAGAGCCTTTGCACTGAGCTACACCCCTGGCTTATTTTTTGGAGACAGGGTCTCTCTAAGTTTCTGAGTTGCCCAGGTTAGGCTCAAACTTGTGATCCTCTGGCTGGCTTCAGCTTCCCAGAGTGCTGAATCTACAGATGTGCACCACCACCATGCCTGGTTCCTCAGGGAATTTTTGTTTGAGATCTTATTTTGGTATTTGGCTAAAAGACACTAATTCTACTGATGAAGATTGGCTTATGTGACAGAATAACAATTCAGAGAGTTGTATGTATAGAATGAAACCAGGTCATTAAATTATTTTTCAGTCTAAGCTTTTCTTTTTTTGTTTTCAGAGTGACTAGGTATTAAGTGGCACTTAAAAATTCTTAGTGCAGTTGGGTGTGGTAGTACAGAGCTATAATCCCAGGTACTTGGGAGGCTGAACTGGGAGCATCGAAAATTTGAGGCCAGCCTGGGCAAGACTGTCTGAAAATTTTTTTAAAAAGCTAGGAATGTAGCTCAGTGGTAGAGCACCCCTAGGTCAATCCGAAGTACTGGGGAAAAAATTCTTCATGCAGTGACCAGCATGCTGTTACTTTGTGATCTTCAGGTTAATTCTCTTAACTGATACTGAGCATGCAGAAAATGGACACACACAGGAAGAAAGACTAAGGGAACGCCTAAAAACATAAACAGTAACTGTGTGTGGAGGACAGAATTTTCTTAATATTTGTATAGTTTGTAAAAAATGGTGCATACAGCAGGTATAGTCCATTGAAGGGAAGGGAAAGAGGTCACACTGCGCTGGACCTTCCTGTGGCTCGGGATCCACTGAGGTTAGGAAGACAGCCAGGGACTGGGCCGGGTGACACACCGACACCCCCACTGTCTGCACGTCATCTCTGACCTGGCCCTGTGCTTCTCAGAGCCCGGGGGCGGCTCTTGATGTAAGCAGAACCAAGCAGATGGCCCTTCTGAGCAGCTGGCCATTGCTTCCAGTCGCGGCAGCATTAGTCTGTCTCTTGAGTGAAGATCTAGGTCGTGGAACTCCAGGAAGGCCATCTCCAGTGTTCTGTCCGAGCGCTCGCCTCTTTTGGCCTGTTCTGCCGCACTCTCACGTGTCTGCACCCGTGAGCGTGTTGTCCACACGGTGCGGAGAAGGCACCTGCTCCCCTGCGGTCCTCTTGTGTCATTTACAGCAGCCTTCTCCACATGATGGAGAACGAACCCTCCTTCCCAGGGGCGGGTCAGCAGGGTTCCACATCCGAGGGAAGAGGCGCTTTCGAATGCCTTTCTGTCCCTCAGCTCACCTACTTCCAAGGGGGCCTGAACTCCGCTCAGTAGTAATGCTCTCCCTGGGATTCTGATTGACGCACTGTATAGGAATGTCCTCAACACTCATGTCATTTGAATTGACGTGCTCTGCTGCATTTGAAGTTGTTAAGAAGTGTTTCTTAGAGGTGGAAGAATTTTAGATGGTTGGGTATTTTCAGCTTAAAAATTACTCCATAACCAGGCATGATGGTGCACACCTGTGACTCCAGCACTCCGGAGGCTGAAGCAGGAGGAGGGTTGTTGTGAGTTCAAGACCAGCTTGGGCTCCAAAGTGAGCTGTAGGCCAGTCTGAACTGCATAACAAGACCCTGTCTCAAAAAGACAAAAAAAAAATTATTCCATAGATTTATTTTTATCTGCAGAGATAACTAGAAGATAGCTCTTGTATGTTTTGCTTTGTGTTCCACACAGTTATAAAGGTTTCAAACCGTGACTGCCCACTATATTGATCCAAGGAGCTTTTAAAAATACCAAGGTACAAGCAAAGTGTGGTTGTGCCTGCTTGTAATCCCAGTGCTCTGGAAGGCGGAGTGGGAGGATTGCAAGTTCTCATCCCACCTGGGTGATTTAGTGAGGCCCTCTCTCAGAAGATGGGGAGGGGTGAGGGTTATACCCCAGCCCCCAGGACTGCTGAAGGAAACCTTAAAAAGCGCCCGCACCGTCCTGAGAGCTTCTCATTCAGCTGTTAGGGTGCAGCACACATGGGAAGGATTTCCAAGTGCCAGGTGGGCCCCAGGAGGGGCCGTGGTGGAAGCCCCGTTGCTGTCCAAGTCCCCCCGCGGTGTGGGCAGCGCACCAGTGAGAGCTGTGCTTCTCGCAGCGGGGTCTGAGTGGAGGAGCAGAGCGTGCTCTGTGGGCTTGACCCGGGCTCGGCCGTGTAAGGCAGGCCGCTAAGCTGATGCCAGCCCTGTACGAGTGAGCACAGACAGTAACCTGAGGGTGAAGAGACCTCATTCTGCTGCCAGGTCCTGTGGTGTCGAGTGGGTCTAGGCCCTTGCTGTCCCATCCAGAGAATTGTCCAGGACAGTCGATGAGTCAGTCAGTGCTCACTAGGGAACCAGATACAGTGCCAGATATACAAACTTGTAAGAATTGCCAAGGTAGGCTTGCAGTGGCTGCTTGCAGAGTTGGGTGCAGAAGGGCTGTCAGTGCACTGGTGTCCCGGGGCCCAGTCGAAGGCCTGGAGCCCACTACAGTACCCTGTGTGAGTCTGTATCAGGAGGCCGAAGGGTCTGTGATAGAACCCAGGAGATGGGATTCAGCATTATTTTAGATACAGCTTTGTTTTAGAGATGGTGAAAGATCCAGTGATTTGCTATGTTTACACAAGGAATGATTGATAAAGCAAGAAAAGAACTCAGCACATTAATCTATTTTATCAAATATAGTTTGTCATGATGTGTTTCTGTCGGGGTAAATTTTGTGTGGGAGACCTTTCTCCCCTCTGCTTTTTTGGTACCAGTAATTGGACTCATGGGCTTAGGTTTGCCAGGCAAGTAAGTGCTGCCCCACGAGCTAGATCCCTAGCCCTATCTGAATTTTTGTAGATCTGGGAATATGTTTTGTACTATGGTAGAAGTTTTTATATTCAAATACAAGTTTATATAACTCACTCTGAAATAGCTTAGGACATATATTTATGAGATAAATAAAACAGTAGTTCTCTAAGTTTTGAGTTTCCATTGCCTTTTGCAATCTAAAAACTGTTAGGTACTTCAGAGAGCTTTTATGCCTGGGTTGCGTATTTGAATGTGCTGTATTAGAAATTAAATTGCGGCTCGGGTTGTGGCTCATGGAGAGCCTGAGAGCCTGGAGCAGCCCCGGCCCCGCCCTTCTCCAAAGGAAACAAACACAAAATTTCAATCAGGCACTGCTGGCCGTAATCCTAGCTGCTCAGAACGCGGAGATAGGAGGATCGAAAGTTTGAGGCCAGCCTGAGCCACTCAGCAAGACCTTATCTCAAAACGGGCTTGGACATAGCTCAGTGGTGAAGCGCTTGCCTAGCACATGTGAGGCCCCTGGGTTCATTTCCAGAACCACACACAAAGAAATTTAGAGTATTTCAAAAATAATAAGCTCATTACATTATAACATAAGTAACTCATTTAATGAAAGCTATTTCTTATAACCAGAAATAAAATCAGCATGAGATAGTGCCAGTGGTTTTCATTTCTGCAGCTCTCTTTAGTAGAGAGCAAATAGCTTAATGGAAAATAGCTGGGTTCTCGTCTGCTTTTATGTTCATTTTGTTGTAATACCACACATCATCTAGCCTTTGGGATATCCCACTGCACTGTCATGGGAGGACAGTGAGAAGGGAAATAAATCCTGTTAATATTATGAAAGCAGTTTCAACCTTGTAGGTGCTGATGGAGTTTGAGAAATATTCTGCACACTTAGGGAATTGCTGGAGGTGATTTAATGATGAAAGAATGTGGAGAGAAACATCCGCAAGGTTTTGTTAGCTCTGTTGGAAAAGAGTAAAACGAGAGAATGTGAGCCTTGTGTCTGTACAAGATTTTTTCTTTGCCGTTTCACTGTCGTGAAGGAACTCCGCACTGACAAAGTCGAGCATTTTGTAAGAGTGCTCCGTTTCACTTGGCTGCTTAACTGTGACATACAGTTTGCTTACGTGATCTACTTCTTGAATTTGCTGCTTTTTCAAAGCCATCATTCTATAGCTTAATTTTCTCATTTCCAGTAGAGGCTCATTCATTTGACAGAAAAAGAAAATTAAAACTAACGGATGTGCTCTTTCTTGCCTAGCCCCTCGCCACAAGAAGACGGGCAGATCATGTTTGACGTGGAGATGCATACCAGCAGGGACCATAGCTCTCAGGTGAGGACGTGAATCCCGGGAAACGGCAGGGACCACGCAGGTCGTCTCAGTGTACTGGCAGGAGTCCACTGGAGAAGACCTCGTCTGCTCCCAGGCAAGGCTCCTGTGGGAAGTCTGCCTGCACTTGCTCAGTCACTGGCTGATGTCTGTCATTTGGCCGTGTGCAGTGAGCTATAACTAAAGCCGTGTGATTTGAAATGGTTTGAAGTTAGTTAATTTCTGACTGTTGGATTTATTTAGGGTGGTGTAGTTCCTGTTGCACTTCTTTACAACTATGGATTTTGGGCCATTTTACTGTCAAAGAGTTGGAAAGTTTTGTTGATAATGTATCATACCAGTATTTCAGACTAGTTTCTTGAGTTTAGTGGTAGAAAATCTGAGATGGATGTCTCATTTAAAACGACAAAGTAAAGTGCAAGGTCGTGAGTTCGATTCCTGGTACTGGAAAAAAAATAAAAAAAGACGACAAAGTAAATGGAAATGCAGGTCAGATTGGAACTAGGTATGAAAAGTTTAGCCCTGTCTGAAATCAAAGCAGTGACTTAAAAAGCTAGAGATAAAAAATTCATCTAAATTATCTGACTACCCTAGAATTGGCTAAAGAAGATAAATAGAGGTCGCCAGGAGTTGACATGGTTGGGAATATAGATGGGTACAGTTTTGAAATCTTAGAAAGGGCGGCTGGGGGGCTGGGGATTTAGCTCAGCGGCAAAAGCACCTGCCTGGCAAGCGCAAGGTTGTGAGTTCGGTTCCCGGTACCGGAGAAAAAAACCAAAAAAAAAAAAGAAATCTTAGAAAGGTTTGCATTACAAAACTTCAAAAACAGATGACTCATATAATTGTTGATAATGATTTAGGGTACACGTGGCTAGCCCTTAGCTACTGACGTGTCACCTTACAGGAAAGTGTCACTGCAATGTGAGTTCTTTAGGGCGGGAACCATTGTCTTTCTCTCCTGTGCCGAGGTGCTTAACATATGGAGTGAATGTTTACATAAGTTGACAGAAACCTTGTTGAGCAGCGCGTGGTGATGATGCACAACTGTAATTCTAGTACTTGGGAGACTGAGGCAAGAAGATCACAAGTTCAAGGCCAGTCATTACTAACAAGACCTTGTCTCAAAAAAAAAATACATACACACACACACACACACACACAGAGTCTGCCCCAAAAAAGTGTATATCAGGAAAAGAAATACTAGTATAAACATTTTAATCCTAAATTTATTGAGACGTCATGAGATTAATACGAGTACCTTTGGCCTCCACAGTAACAAGAGGTGCTCAGAGTGGTGGCTCTTAGCTTCCAGACATTAGTAAGGTGAACTGCTGTGTGTACACATTTTTTTTGCAGACTCTGTATGTATAGAAAGAAAAAAAAAAAACGTAAGGTGTTCTCCCAGTCCAGTCCTGGGTCTCTTTGCACTAGAAATATTTTTCCCTAGAAACAGCTGTCCGGACTGTGCATTCGAAGGCTGCCCAGTTTCTCCATACTGTGGACTCTGGCTCTGTTTTAACTCCTGTCTGAAGCCCAGAACATCGGTGCACTGAGCGCCAGCTTGCTTTACCCTCTAGGCAGGGCTGCCGTGGGGGAAGACTGTCCGACTGGAATCGTCGAATCAGTGGCTGATGTTTGCCAGTTTGGTTGCAGGCAGCAAGCTATAACTGCATAGAAGTATGTAGCGTCCTTGTGACAAAATGCATACCAAGCATCCAAGAGAGGAAGTCTTCGCTGTAGTTTTTCCTTGAAAGATGTCTTCAGTCAGTATTAGGTTGTGTACAGGTAGGTTGAAAATCTAGATTAACATTTTCCAGAGTGTGTCTGAGAAATGCTCACTCAGTGAGAAAAAGCTCCATGAGAAAGTTTTAAAGTCAAATATGTGGAAAGTACTGTAGTCCTGGTTCCCATAGGTCACGCTGAGTAATGGCTCTGAGAATCCCTGCAGTAATCCAGTTTCTTGACCCAAATGTCTCCCAGGCTTTTTGGATCTTACTCCTTCCTCCCCTCCACAAGACGCAGCGTGTCCGGACACTGCCCTAAGCACTGTCCTGAAAGAATGGCGGTGTATGAACAGGCTTCACCAGTCAGAGCAGTTCACATTCTAGGTTCTAGAGCCGAGGGCTCCACTGTAGAATTCCAGATTCCCAGAATTTGTGAAATTGCAGAGAAAAATACAAAGTGTTTAGCATTTTTGTCAGACCGTGGTAGGATTGCCAGCGTGTTCCCTGTGCAGACACAAGGCGAAAGAACACTGGCTACCGCCAAGCGGGGGAGAAGCCGCGGAGCCCCCCGGACAGTCAGGGCGGACCAGGAGGTGTCGGCGGAAGCAGTGTGGCTCCTTTAAGACACAGCTGCAGAGTAAGACTTACAGGAAGGGAGATAGCAATAATAGTACTTATCTAAACTTTATTTTTTTTTTATTTTTTATTGTTTTGGTACCAGGAATTGAACTCAGGACCTTGCGCTTGCCAGACATGTGCTTGTGCCGCTGAGCTGTGTCCCCGGCCCTACTTACCTAAACTTTCAAAAGCCTTTTGCACTTTTTTTAACTGAAGAAATAATTTTAAACGTTTAGGATTTGAGAAAATGAATTTTTTTCATGAAAATGAGAGAAACCTTTAGGGTTGAGAAATAGAAACAGTTAACAGAAGTCTGTCACTGTAATTTATCTTCTGAGACGTTTTCATATGCGTCTCTGAAGAACATAGGACGATTTTGAGATTTTCTAGCGGGAGCGCGAGGACAGGCACTAGCACTTAGCCAGATAGGTGCTGAGTGTTAAATGTAGTTTTAAAACCGCTTCTCACTTGTGTATTCTCGGTCCAATGAAAGAGGTGATATTATCCTCGTGGGCAAATGGGGAAAATAGGGCTTTTTTGGTCTCACTTAGTTATCTGGGTGACAAAGCAGGCAAATGCCAGAGCCAGGATTGAAGACCTGTGGCCCCGACCCTTCTCCTGAATTAAGCTGCCAGCTAGAATTGGGTACAGAAGCCGGGCCCGCGAATAAGCGAGAGCCACACAGCCGTGGTGTGGGGGTCCTGGTAACGCTTGTGGGCGTCACGCAGCTACAGGAGTGCGGTGGGAGCGGAAGTCTCCATCTGCAGCAGGAGACAGACTGGGCCGTCCTAGAGACATGGCTGCTGGTGATTCGGCACCGGAGAGGCCAGCGGTGTTGGGTGTCGCTGCAAGGTGATCCAGACTGGACATAGCCTCCCTTTTCTGCCTTGGAAAACTGGCTTCCCCGTGCGCGGGTCCCTGTGCGCCATTTAATGTCTGTGCGGAGGCCTGAGGACCGGCTGTGGCCGCAGGGGGCGGAGCTGCAGGTGAGGAGGCGCAGGGCTCCTCTGCAGAGGTGTGGGGAGAGGGCTGCTGACTGCTCAGGTCAGAGCAGGAACCACGCGTAATCAGATTAGGAATTGGAAGGTGATTCAGAAGCTGAAAGTAGCAAATTTAAGATTAAAGGAATTTTAATTAAAGGAAGATTAAATTTTAAGATAAAAGGAAATGACGGTGGTAAAGGAAGGGAGCTCACCACGCTTATCTGAACATTAGAATAGGTTTAGAGACTTAGCTGGAGTTACATTTTGTTTTTTTAAGTACTAATTAAAAGTAACTTCACTCAGTTGAGAAAAAATCCTACCACCTTTTAAAAAATTGAGAGTGCTGGGGATTTAGCTCAGCGGCACAGCGCCTGCCTGGCAAGGCCAAGGTCATGAGTTTGATGCGTGGTAGTGGAAAAATAAATAAATAAGTAAAAAATTGAGAGCATAAGATCTTACTGCATGTGCTAACCTGTCCAGAAGTGGAGGCCTGCGTCTGAGCTGCTGGGGGAGAGGTGGAGGCGACGAGGGCGCCGGAAGTGCGTGACCGCGGGTCGGGAGGCAGGCCCCGAGTGCAGTGTGAGAAGTGAGACTCGTTTCTGTCGATCTAGGGGGATTCACCAGGGCTGCGAAAGGGCAGACTCATGATGCTGAGTAATCGCCACGCCCGGTGGAAAAACCCGGGTCCTGAGTGCTGCATTGTGCCGCGCAGTGGGGTTTGCCGGGCTCAGCACGAGACGAGCGCGATGCTGACCAGAGCACAAACATCCCAGGGTTTGTGCTGCCTTTGGTGGGAGGCGCTGCGTGTGTAGAGCCAGTCACTAGCACCCTCCGGGTACAGCCGTGTCGCTGAATCATGGGAGGGTGTGAGGCTCTGTGGCACCCACCACCTGCCCGGGAGGACAGGAGCTCAGACCAGAGGGCCGGTCCTGCTCGGAATCAAATCGGACACCTCTCAGCTTGACGCCTCGGGTGTGGGGTCAAAGTCACATTCTTCAGGGCTCGTATTCAGGGGTGGTGTGAAATAAGAAAACCATTAGTTTTAGGAATTTCTCATTCCTCTGGGTTCTAGTAAAAAGGAACTTTCAGAAATTTTAATTATTCTTGGCCTAAATTTTGGCCTAAAAATTTAGATTTTCCTTAGTAAAAAAATGTTAAATTCTTTATAGTAAGTTATTCCAAAAAGCTTGTGCCTGACATAGTTTTAAAACCTTGGGAAGTGTTTAGATAATGACTCACCTAAAACATTTCTTTGCAGAGGGTAGAACCCAGTGCTTCAGTGGGGGCGTTAGAGGCTCTTGGTCTGGATTTGGATATTGGCCTTGCTGCTTACCAGTTATGGAGCTGTAGGTCTCATGTCAGTTTCCTCACTGTACAGTGGGGTTTCCGCTCCAGTTTTCACGGGGTTGGCGCGGTGTCAGCGTTAATGCTTGTCTCTGAGCGCTCAGTAATACTGTTACTTCCTTATCACATCTCCCGCTTACTTTTATTTTTCACCAATTTATTTTTGCTATGTATTCCTTTTTGATACGTTTCCTTTTTTTCTCTTAGTTATAAAACATTAAAATGTGTACAAAAATAAGGAGACCAAGAGGGTGGACCTCCACAGAAGCGTGACTTGGGTTCAGAGTCACTGCGGCGTCCGTTCCTTGCCGTTCCAGCCCCAAGGTGGCCTGTTCAGTGCATAGTCTGTGGTCAGGTGTAACAGCAGCCCAGCTTACTTGAGTTCTTTTCAAGATACAGTACTCAATACTGATAGATCGTTTTGTCAGCCTTTTTCAACAGATGGCCCGTTTCTTACATAGAAATTACTGGTGTACAAGCTTAGGGGTTTTTCTCGCTGTCTGTGTAATAGAAGCAATTGGTTCCCCCCTCCTTAAGTTTGAATTCCTCTTTATAGTCAGAAGAAGAAGCTGTAGAAGGAGAGAAGGAAGAGGCTTCGAAGAAAAGTGCAGACTGGGTCTCAGACTGGTCCAGCAGACCTGAAAACGTGCCACCCAAGTAAGTGCTTCCTGTGCATCCGGGGCCTGCTGACCTCTGGAGCCTGGTGCCCAGGGCCCGGAGATCCCCCGGGTCCCCAGCCAGTGTGTCTCTGTCCTCTCTCGCTCAGGGAGTTCCACTTCAGACACCCGAAGCGCTCCGTGTCTCTGAGCATGAGGAAGAGCGGAGCCATGAAGAAAGGGGGCATTTTCTCGGCGGAGTTTCTGAAGGTGTTCATCCCGTCTCTCTTCCTTTCCCACGTTCTGGCTCTGGGGCTGGGGTAAGTGCTGTTCAGCCGCTGCGGTGTTTTCCAGGCACTTCGTTCTCATAGTTTATCTTCAGGTGTGAGAAATACATGTGGAAGTATTGTGCACTGCTTTTTTTAATGTTGTGCATCGATAAGGTGAACTTAAGACAAATTAAATTGGTACACAGCGGGTCTGTGAATTAGCAGGCCTAATGATTATTTTTTCAGTACTCAGGGCTTTCGCTCTGAGCCACGTGTCCAGCCCGTTTGTAAACCTTTTTATATTTTGAGACAAGGTCTTGCTAATTTGTGAAGTTGGCCAGGCTGGGCGCGACCTCGATCCTGCCTCAGCCTCCCAGAGTGCCGTGATTACAAACACGCACCACCACGCCCAGCTAGTTTTAATGATAGCAGGGTTTTTTCTTCTTTTGAGACTAAGATATTCACAGTAACCTCCTGGTGATGATTTTTAAGTGGGCTCTTCAATGATTTATTTTTCTTTTTTGAATTTTGTTGTATAAAATAGCAAATCTTAAATAAGTTCGAAAAATTAATCTTCAGCATGTGATTTTGAGAATGTGAAACAATTTTTTTCTTTCACAGGTTTTTACTGTAAAGTCAGCCTCATATTTACCTCTAATATATTGATTTTTTCAGGCTCCTCTTAAATGTGTTGCTCTTTTCATGATTTGAATTACTGAGGGACTGCACTTCTGAACGAAGAGCAGCTGTTCATTTTCCTCAGATGTTTGTGTCGCACTCGTCGGGGAGCGCCTGGCCATCCTGTGTGCGGCACCCAGGAGAGGGCTCGGCCCTCGCCTCCCTCTGAGCAGAGGGTCGGCCTGCTCCCACGGCGCAGTTTGCAGCCCCTCTGCCTCCCGCCGGGATCCGCTTCTGTGGGCCGCACACAGCAGGCGGGCGAGGCTGGAGGCTGGAGGCTGGAGGGAGGGTGGGAGCTTCATCGCTCCTGGCTGCTCAGTACGTTGAGTTTGGTACCTTGCCGTAGCTCTTGCTTTCATGAATCTTTACGTTAGTTTTTGTTCTGCTTCTCCTTGTTTTTGCCTTAAGTGTAACTTGCTGTGGATGCGTGGAAAGTGAGTTTAAAAAGTTGGTTGCTTCATTGCAGCGGGGATGGAGCTAGTTCCTGACCGCCCCCAGCTTCCCTTCGCTGTGTTACGGAAGGGGTCAAGTGCTTGTTTGATGTGGAGAAGCCACACCAGATCAGGAGGGGCGCTTCTGCTGTGCGAGGAGACTGTTCTCTGCCCTGGTTTTCCTCTCATCACTGCCCAGCACTGTCCAGGGCGAACAGAGTCAGATGAAGCCAGTGTGGCGGGCAGTGGGAGGGGCAGCTAGGGATGTGGCCAGGGGGGCGGCAGAGCACTTTTTGCCTGTGTGAGAGAGAGAGAGAGAAGCCGGGTTTGGTTCCCAGCACCATCCGCACCCAGTGAAGCGGCGGTCATTTCAGGGCCTCGGGAGCGTGCGTACCTCTCTAGGGCCTTTCCTGGGGCCTTCTCACTGAGGACTGTGATGCGCTCTGCTTCCTTTCAGCATCTACATTGGAAAACGGCTGAGCACACCTTCCGCCAGCACCTACTGAGGAAGGGACGCTGCTGGAGACACGCTGGCCTGTGAAGTGGTGTATTGTTGTAGTTTATCTGAACTTGAGACCATCGTAAGCATGACCCAACCTACCACCCTGTTTTTACACAACCAATCCCAGTAACTCTCCAATCAGTATTTTATTCAAACTCTGATGAGGCATTTTACTAACCTTATTCCCTTTTTGGCCTGTAAGACACTTTAGAATTTCCTAACAGTTTACCGTTGTTTAGAAATTTGCAAGGGCTTCTTTTCCTCAACCGCCACCAGCAGAGTATAATTTTGTCAGCAGCGCTGTCATCTCCTGTTAGCACCGAGAGAATTAGAGCTGTGTCATCCATGGCAGAAATTTTACTCTGGCAGTGAAGCTACCGTCTCTCTCTCAAAACAAGATCAGGTTAGCATAAGCTTTGTTTTCCAGCACAAAGACAAGCTTGTCTGAGCTTGAATTTATAGTTATTAAAAAGAAAAAAACAAAAAACACAAAAGACAAGAGAAAATATCCTGGGCAATAAAAAGTTATTTTCAACCAGCTTTGGAGCCACTTTTTTTCCAAGCCTCCTAATAGCGCCTTTTAATTCGTAGGAGGCAGGCTGTATAAATGGTAGGTAGGAGATAGAATAAGAACTAAACTACATCAGCAGATTTTAATACTAGTATGTTGTAATGCTGTCTTTTCTATGGTGTAGAATCTTTATTTCTGATAAGGAACGTCTCAGGCCTAGACATATATGAAACTGCTTTTCAGATTTTTGTGTGTGTTTGGTATTTCCATATGTTAGCTGCATGTGAATTTTTCATGACTCTTCAATTATTTTTTAATTTCTTTTATTCCTATAAGAAGAGATTTTGGGATGAGTCCAATTTATGGTGTTAATCCAGGCTTCTTGTTTTAGGAAGCTTCAATTATACTCTGAAGCCTTTAAACTCTGAAGAAAATCACTTCAGAGTTATTCCAAGCACTTGTGCAACTTTGAAAAACACCCAAGGGTGGTGGGAGCAGAGCTCTGGACAGGTGCCGCTTGCGTTCGCATGGCCCTGCTCCCAGGGCTCGCTGTGCCGTCTTCCCGCGGTGGCCCTGTGAGGCCGCAGGCCCCAGGGTTCTCATGTAGCTGTCTTTCAATGACGTCCCACTCCTGACGTTCCTGAACACTCAGCAGATTCCTTCAGTGACATACTTTTTCATTTGTTTCTAAAATGTGAAGCTTTAGGACCAAATTGTTAGAAAGCATCAAGATTACGGATTATTTTGCGTAGGTTTTGTTGGATTCCAGAACGTCCAGCATGACTCCGAAAGATACTACTATATGTTTTATATATAAATAATTACTGTTTATGATATAGGCCTTGCTATTGACTATTTAGAGAAGCATTGTTAATCTTAAAGCTAGCAATCTATAAAGTGCATCAGGTTAACTTGAATAAAACACTATTGTAACAACCAGGTTTGCCAGTTTGCAGAAGCTAACTCTTCTCTCTCACGTCAAGGTTTGTAAAACTGCCGTGGTACAGTGGAAAATAACACAGATTAAAGAAAAACGTTACTTTCTATCTTTCTTCAAGAACGTAGCTGGCTGTCTTTAAGAGTGATGATACATCCAAAACAGTTTTGTGAATGATTTTATTTTTCTTTGTAGAATTTGAGGTCTAAATAATTTTAGATACTGTACCTTGTTTCTGTCTTACTCTTAAACCTGGTAACACTTGATTTGCCTTCTGTTTATTTCAAGTGTTCACATTGGAATTTCTTTGGAAAAAAGGAAACCCACTGTCTTTCGAAAAGTCTGGATAAAATTGGGAAGGCTGGTAAAGCCAAGAGACCCAAATAGCTGTGCTAAAATGTTGTAATGTACAATTTGTATTACAATTGGTATTCTGGGAGAGAAGAGTAAAAATTACACTATAAGTAAGAGCATCTTTTTATGGGCAGTACATTGTACTCTTTCTAAATTCAGTAGCAATTTTATCCGTAGTGCCATTGAACTTCGGGTATGTTTATGATTTTTTTTTCCAACATTGAAAACAAATTGACTTTTGCCCTATTTCTTAAAGTTTCTGTAAAATTACAGAATGTTAACTGAAAATGAATATATCATCACATTAGAACTTCTGTAAGGGGAGCTCATGCAGTATTTATTGATAGGCCTAACATATGGGCCAGATGTTTATTCTCTCCCCAGATTTTTGTTGAATGAGACAGATTGATTGGAAAGGCCATTAACAACAGCTGAAATTCTAAGATTAATGTTTAAAGAGCTTTACACCTGTTTACAATTTGGGGAAGAAAAGACAGGCTTTTTTCTTACGTCTGATGAGAACTGGCTTAAGATGTTCATATGTACAACCAACAGCGAAAGTGCCCTGCCTTGCCGGGTGACAACAGCAACGTGTCACCCTGACTGAGTACAAACATTTGCTATAAAAAGGAAGATTGACAACTCAGCCTGTGAGGTGAATTCCTAACTGAACCAGTTGTTGAAATTATTGGAATTAACTGAGCCAAAGTGATTATGCATTCTTCATCTATTTAGTTAGCATTTTGTATCATTATATACAGTTTACAATACATGTATACCTTGTAGCTATAAACATTTTGTGCCATTAAAGCTCTCACAAAACTTTCTGTACAGTGTATCATTTTTCTGTCCCCTGTGTTGCCAGGGAGTTTAGGAGGGGGCAGGCTTTCCCTGTTACATATGGAAACCTTCCCTAGTGCGAGGCCCAGAATCGGAACTGAGGTACCTGGATCAGGCGCCCGCTTCCATGCAGTGTGTCTCTGCTGAGCGCCAGCTCAGCTGTGTACAAGGTGCCGAGCACCTGTAGCCAGGTGGTGACAAGGCGCCACCCACCAAGGAGAGGACGGAGAAAGAGAGGCGTGCAGATGTTTAGCAAGTGCGGGAGGAGTGAAGAGTGTGCCCAGGAGGGAGTGGACGCGGCCTGGTGGTGGAACTGGTGCCTGAGACCCTGGATTTGTTCCCCAGCACCCCCCCCCCCCACACACACACACGGCTTTTGCGCTGGATGAGGTGCTTTAGGTGGAGGTGACTTAAAGTGTATGCAGAGGTCGCACCGTTGCTATATAAGAACTTGAACATTTGCAATGTCAGCGTTGGGGGTCCAGGTTCAGCCTGTGGGAGAGACTGAGGGGTGGCTGGACTGCACACAGCTTGCTTTTCTCGAGGCCCCGTCTAATGCAGCCTCACAGCCACCTCGTGGGGTCGCTCCAAGGGCTCTGACTCCGTGGCTCTCCTCTCCTCTCCTCTCAGCTGCCACAGGAACTGTTCTAAAATACAAAGCCCAGAGTGCCCTGACATCCTTCAGTGCCCCCACTGTCCTGAGGGTTAAAGTGGTTTTGAGTCCGCCTTCTCCCCGCGTCCCGACCCTCCCTGCAGTCTCCCCGGAAGTGCTGCGTGCCTGGCCCCGACCCCACGCTGGCAGCCGCCACCCTGCCGCTAGTTGTTCTCCCAGATGGGTGCTGTGGCTTGTTTCCCACCGCATCCCAGAATTGACCTGGTGCTTGTTACTTGGTGCACGCTAAACACGCATAGACTATTACTGAATTCTCTTTTCAACACCAAAGAAAATGATTTTGACCATTTTACTGGATTTGAAATAACCTAGACATCAGAAATGACACCTCTAAGGGCAATGCGTGAAACAGCACCAAGCTTTTGAAAAATTTCATTTTTGAGAAGAGGAAAACGAGAAGCACGAAGGCACGGAAGAGGAGAGGTCGCGGGAACCGGAAACCTGAGGCGATGTGGCCGGAGCCAACCCGTGTTTAAATTCTGGCTGAACCCACAGTCTTGTCCCAAGAAGGTGCCTTCATATTGTCCTCTGCCTTCCTGGGAGAAGAGAAGACGGTGGCTTCAGCCAGGGGTAGATGCTTGCCTGGCGGGCCCCAGGCCCTGGGTTCCATGCCCAGTACCTCAAAAAGGCTAACAAAGACAATACCAAACGTGGGACCGTGGTGAAGCTCTTGCTTTGTGACTGGGCTCAAGTCATATGGCCTGAAGTGGGACGACTGGCCGTGGACGAGGGTTTCTGGATGGAAGCAGCCTACAAAGCCGGGAGGGTTAGAGGCTGCTTCACATCAGTGGCCCGGTGAGTTACCCTTGCTGCCTTTTGAGAGGAAGCGCACTGTGAGGGCTTTTTTGCCGAGCTCCTGGGTGGCCGTCCGTCTGTCCCTAGCATTCTGTCGGGGCAGTGGCAGAGGGAGGCACCAGCACTGAGCGGTCTGAGGAGCTCGCCCCTGCCCTGCAGTTCTCCAAGTCACAGCGTCCCGGGTGCCACAGACCAGGCTTTTCAGCGGTGATAAAGGAGCCATTGATGCCCAGAAAATCACGGTTTCTAGCCAGAACATTAGCTTCGGCTGTGCTCATGCTCCGGGAAATCCTCGGCCGCGGCGGTGCCTGTGGCCCCGGGAGGCGACAGGACCAGCTTGGCAGCTTGGGCCGCGTGGCTTATTTTGCTCTGTGTGTATTGGGCAGCACCAGCAGCCCTGGTGAGAGATGGGTTTTAGCCTTCACGGCATCCATTTGGGCATCGCTCGCTTTGGCATGACGGATCCAGTTAAAGAGAGAAACCCATATGCATTTCAACTGTTTATGAAAGTTAATTTTCATATCGTCTGTGCTGTTGTGAGGGCTCCCGCGTTCCTGCCGAAGAGTCCGTATTTGCAGGAGTGTAAGAGCATGAGCTTCTCTGCAGGCTTCCTAAACGGGCGCGGGGAGGAGGAGAAGGTGAAGGAAGGAAGCTTTGAGGGCCCGCGTGCGGCGAGCCAGACCCGGTGCGCGCTCTTCTGTTCCTTCGTCCACACGGCGCCCCCAGTCCGAGCCCGCTGATCGGCGCTCACGGAAAAGGTGAGGTGTTTCACGTCCGAAAGAACCCGTCTGTGCTCTGCGTTCTCTCAGCGAGCACCCCGAACGCTCTCAGTCCGGCTGCCAGCCCTGCGCTCAGAGGGGACGACCGTCCTCAGAGAAGGCCCGGCCCTTCCTAACTGCTAACCCAACTGTTGGTGGATTTGAGGAAGTCATGATTGAATGCATGCAGTCAGCACGACCTTAAAGGGACCCGCAGCGTCAACCCTGCCGTGTTCTCGCTTCGGTTTTACCTGTGTGACTTGTCATTTCGGTGTGAGGCGGGCATGAGCTGTAAAGTGACCGAAGCTGCTCCGTGGCTGGCAGTCTGCTGAGCACACGCACCTTGTGCGCGCGTCCTTGCCGACGGCCCGAGCGTGCAGACGCCGAGGCCTGGAGAGCCGCGTGGGTCCGTTCGCTTCCACTCCGGGAGCTCATGCTGCAGCCGCGAGCACCCCGCCATGAGCCCCAGGAGCCCTTGCCACCCCACTTCCGTCCCATGTCCCCCAAGAGCCTCAGGCGCTCCAGGCGGGGTTTGGGGAGGTGACCAGGCCGCGGGCTCCCAGCTGACGCTGCTGGGGCGGGGCCTGCGAGATCAGGGTCAGCAGTTTCTGTGCTCCCCGTGCCTCCCCCCGGCTCTGCTTGCTGGATGGCAGCTTTTCCTCTGCCTCGCCCCAGCGCCAGGCTGCCCTGCCTGACAGCCAGCGACTGCCCACGGCAGAATCTACCCGCCGGGAGCCAAGAGACACGTCGGCTGCTTTGAAAGTGACTCAGTCACGCTGCCTCCTCCCGGCGCTGACGTCCTCACCACTGCTGACGCCAACCCGTGTTTCTGTGGTGGCCGCTGCCCTCTGGCCTGGGCTATGTGGGGGCCTCCGGACGGCCCTGCAGAGGCCTGGCACGGGGGCGGCGACCTGCTCGGGTGCCAGTCCGGTCGTGGCAGTGTCTGGCGCTGCCTGGTGGAAAGGCCGTGAGGGAAGCAAGAAGCAGGTATGGAAATGGGCATCTGAGCTCGTTGTCTAAGTGAGGGCCGAGACGGTGGTGTCTGGGGTGCCACTCTGTTGGTCGAACCCAAGGCCTAGCGTGAGTCAGGCAAGGGCCACTCGAGGCCCCGCCGGCCGCGGACAGGAGGCAGGAAGCCGCCGAAGCAGGCTGGCTGCGGCTCCGCCGAGAGCTTGCCCACAACCCGAGGCCCGGCTCCCACCCGCTGCTCAGAAAGAGGCTGTGGCAGGAGGCTCCCTCCCCTGACGGCTGGCAGGCGCGGGGCCCTGGTGCCTCCAGCAGCTGTTCCTTCCCATCCAGACCGGCCAGCGTTCATAGGGCCCTGACGACACTCATCGCGGGAGTTGCCTCGTGTCCACAACACATCCGGCTTCTTTTTGTTCTCGTGTAGCTTAATATTTACTAATTTTTAACTCACACCTCTTGAGGTTTTGCCTGTGACATGTGACCAAAAGAGAGTATGCCAACATATGTAAAATCAGTACAGCATTTGCAGTTTTCCTTCTCTGCGAAGTTCTCACTTTAAATAATTTGGTACCTGTGGAGGACCACCTAGGTGACTCTCCTTCAGAGGGGAGCCGTTGCCTCGGTTTTGGCTGAGCCTGACCCTGTTTCCGTGTACTGATATGTACAGAGCTGGCTGGGACTTTTCCTTACCCCTTCAACTGGCTGTAAGCAATGCGTGTTGGTCTAGTCCAGGTGCTGGTGGTAGTCTTTGGAGATGGCAGGCGTGTTTCCCCGGCCTCCTGTTATTCCTCGAGTCAGCTGGGATGAGGCGGGGTGTGTGAGCCAGTGCTCCACGCTGTCGGCTGGGAATAGAGGCTACGAATTCCTGGGGCTCCAAAGATTACACATCCGAGCTGAAGCACCGACCCCAAAACATTAAATATTGTCTCAGTTGTGTTACGCAGACTACTTCTGCAGATCCTTCTCTGCATTTGCAGGGGTGATTTCAGGCCTCCTACCTAGCCCAGCTCATGGCCCTCATGTGCTTCCCATGGTTCTCACAGTCACTCATCCTCGAGCCTCTCCCTTCTCCATGAAAGATTAAAACCTGGGTTCGGCCTTGAGTCGAGGCCTTTGTTCCAGATAGTGTTCATCATGGTTGGACTTAGGACCCCTTGGCTCCCCATAACTGCAAATATGCCTTAGTGTCTTTATTCTCGCCATGGGTTGCACTGGAAGTGGTAGACTGGAATTAACTCGCTAGAATTCCAATAACTTTTCATGGGATTACAAACGTAAACTTCCTGGGCCGTGATGAGGACTGGGAAGGGCTCTCTATAGATACCCTGTTATTTAGGAGCTAAAGGTTCAAGCCACAATTTCTCCCTTTAAAAATAAATGTGATGTAGAGTGCTTGCCTAGTATGCACAAGGCCCTGTGTTCAATCCCCAGTACTGCAAAAATATAAATAAATAAATAAATAAGATGGGTTGGGCATGGTGGCACACACCTGTGATCCCAGCGCTCAGAGGCTGAGGCAGGAGCATCGCCGCGAATTCAAAGCCATCCTGGGCTACATAGTTTAAGGGCAGCCTGAGCGCAAGACCTTGTCTCAAAAAACAGAAATAATAAGTAAATAAGCAGGGGCGCACACCAGAGATCCCAGTTCCTGGGAGACTGAAGCAGGAGGATCCCTTCTCCATCTCCTCAAATGCTGAAAAAGACAGGTTAATGAGCGGGTTAAGAAGGTTAGCCAGGCAGCAGGGGCGGGGTCTGCAGTTCTGAGCCCGTGGATCCACGTGGATCCAGGTAGCCC